ACTTTGTCCACAGTTGAACTGGACAGACTGGGAAGAGGGGCCCGATCTGGGGCTGGAGGAGGGCTCCAGGCATTGAAAAGATCCTTCGGTGTTTTGGCAAACCTGAGGTGGTATGCAAGGTGAGTCTGGGAGGGAGCACTCATCGGTGTCCACACAGCCCCTTTCTGGTGACCAGTGATAACCTTGGCTACAGCAAGAAGAGTCACTGCAGAGTTTTGTATTGTAACAGGCGAGACCATCGCCTACAAAGCCATCTTTACAAACACAAGAGACCATGTGCTTGATGAAAGAGTCGCCTCTTTCTTGTGACTCCAGGCAGGCAGCGTCATCATGACATGAATCGCAACTGGTGACAAGTGTCCCTGTGAAAACAAAGACTGTGATTTATGCTGTTGCTAATTTTAAGTGAAAATATATAAAATAAAATAAAAGTGAAAATAAAGATTTTAGGTGCAATTGACATTAATTAACCCTTATTAATTTACTAAACTTTTCTAATTCAGGATAATTTATGTTTAGGAATTCTGTGAGTAATTACTTAATCATTAACAAATCTGCTCAAATCTCACTACAGAGTGATACCAGAGGTACAAGTGTGTGATTGACAACAACAGTACTACGTATTTATTATATATTCAATTAATATATTGGCAATGACCTAATTAAAACCACAACTGAATGAGAGGTTTTAAGTAGTCTCTTAAAACTGCAACTGTCTCAGGGTGGATTATTATTACAAAAGCATTTTGAGCACCAAAGCATTGTTCAGGCTCACAGAACTTTATTTTTAACCATTTAATTTGAGGTTTTGAATTGAAATACATCAATATGTGACACAAAAAAGAGAAAAAGATCCACAACAAAATCTATATCTATCTCTCACAAATATATATTTTTAAATAAGGGAAAGTATAATTACACAGTAAATATGTATCATAATGTCTAATCTAAGATGATAAGATGTCAGATGGCTTACCTGAAATGCTTCCTGTACAAATGTGCAAAATTAGGAACAACAACAAACCCCCAGGCATCCCCATTATGGACCACATCCACGACACAACTTGCTGAAAAAGACAAAAGAGCTGTTTTAAAATATAAATTTCAAATTATGCTGCCATGCATAACATTCATTACTTTGCTTGTCTTACCTTGGAGAGACTGTGTGGGAATCTAGCAGTTGGCGAAAAAGTTGAAAGTAAAAATGACCCAGTGAGTTAGAGTGTGAGAATTTATAGGTGTTCAAAGAACCTGAAGCAATCATTGGTGAAACAATGACCCATTAATATGTTTCACAACTGATACATATGACATCAAAAGAGTTACTTATTAATCAAAAAAAGACAAACAGGATCAAATTCAAACATAACTGGCACACAAGCCCTGAGTCAACATGTTTTATGGTACCACAATCAATCTCAGGTCAGTGTTGAAACATATTAAAGATCTTCAGATCTTTGTATGTTTGCACATTCCAACGTTACTGTATCTACCGACTGTCAACAGCAGAGAGTTGGGTTTTTAAGCATAAATTCTTTTTTGCTGAACTTGGAAAAAGTAATTTGACCAAATAATCTTAAGAGCTTTCACACATCACAGTTTTAATTTCCGGTCTCACTCAGTGTAAGTGTGCAAATGTCACTGACATCCATTTCTGAAAATAAATGTTCAAGGATGAACATGCAGTTGTAAGCAGGTTTCAAAAGATGTCAACATTCGTCACAATCCAAGAATTAAACTGGTACTAAACATCTAATCTAAACAATTATGCCTACATAGCATGCAAATGTTGGACCCCATCTTGTGTTTCTGCATGATGTATTTAATGGCCTAGCCTTGAAAAAGTGTTTCTATGAATCAGACAGGTTTCTTTACAATTAGGAGAAGTTTGTAGGGACAAACATGAAAAACAGCATTGCACAAGAGGATGGTTTCTCACATTGCCCCCATTTATTGTGTTTTTATCCTGCTAATATGTCACTTCTTATCACTATTTACTGGAATCATTGTGCTGTCATATTTATATACTTACTTTCTCTTCTTTATTATTCCTAGGTAAATGGTTGACTTGGTGCTTTGTTCCAATACAATAACATTTTTACACACTACTAGTACTTGTATAGTATATGGTAAATGGTAAATGGACTGCCTTCCTAGTCTTCCGACCACTCAAAATAAATAAATAAAATAAAAACTTCAATAACTAGGCCTCAGATAT